GTTCGCTCACACTTCACCGTACTGCTCAGGAATGGATCCACTTCACCAGCCGCAATTTATGCAGACGCATATCAGCCAAGCATCTCTCCCACTCTACGAGCGAACGTCACAATTGTGGGGTGTAGAATGGGCCGCTAAATGCCGAGAACGCATTGCAGCACAGACGAGACACAGAGAGACCTGGCCCAGAAAACCACCACCACCACAATCTCTCCTCTCCAGCTCTGGTAGCACTCCTCCCCTCCTCCAAGCCAGGGCATGTGACACACGTGACACACGTCACATGCCCTGTAATTAACCCAGCTCTCTGAATCGCATGCCTCGGGGTCACCCCGTTTAATCCTATAATCACAGCTTGTTGGGGTCACAAGTAAAATGGGCCCGTAGGTTCTGGCCTGGGGCAGAGATGGGCGAGGTTCGTAGGGAGGCTCGGCGGTGATGATGGGGGGGGGGTGTAACTGGTCTCAGATTTACGCGGTGAGAAGTCGTGGTTTTTGGTCCTTGTTTGCGAGTGGTCGTGAGCCCGTGTTATTGCATCCTCGTCACCAGTCGTAATGCAAAGCCATCCATCAGCGTCGCCACACGACACATGCGCAGTGGCTAACGCCACTGCCAACAAGTGTTTATTGATTGTCTTGCAGATTTCTATTCACTGATAACAAAGATGACCCCATATAACCATTGAGACTGATGGGTCAGGTGCTGTTAGCGAGCAGCTATAAAGCATGGCACAGCAGATGGAGGCAGTGGTTTGGCGAGCACCACTCCTGGCTGCGTTTGTCTGCCTAATGCCGATATTTACACACCATACCAGGTGTTTATTTAAGGCCGAGTCGATCTAGAGGAGGGCAAGTTCAGATACCACTGTTCCACGTTTGTATGTGTTCTCTTGTGTGTCTGCATTCACTCATATAAGCCACCCGCACACAATTCTCGAACGTCACTTTAAAAAAAAAGATTTATTTTTGATTCAACTTACCGAACTCACAACCTCAAGACCGACAGCTCTGCCACTCTCATTAACTGCAGCCATTCCGAGCCTATGACTTGGCGCACGTAATTGCACCTGCAGTATATGTGCACGCAACGAGGTAATGAAACACGCGGGGACGGCGAAGTGGTGGGGTAAAAATGTAACGTGTTTACTGTGGAGTGCTCGACGCTCACAAGGCCAAAAACAAAACACTCGAACGAGCTTCTACATTTGTTTTCTCTTTCTCTCTTCAAATATGCACCTAATCAGTCACTGCAAGGAGTCATTCTGCCCACGATTTAACTTAAGGATCAAAGTACAAAAAAATGCAGTCTGCGGAACGTTGTCTATAAGCGAGACTCACGCACGCCGCTTTTAAGCAGATACACTTTTGCATCGTCGTCGGTTGAGAAAAAGCGTCGTCAGCCGCTATATATGTACGTGTCGAGGGAGGCTATAAATTACACACCCACGCGCGTGTGTCAAAAAGGTACACTGCCCATTTCACAAGGGCAAACCTTGAGATTTGAGCGTTGTGAATGATAATTTTTTTGACAAACTTAAGTGTTAGAAAATTACACTCCGGACAATAGTATAAAGTCAACACAACTAGGGTTACTGAGCTCCCTTGTGTCGTTGTTGTTGTTATGCTGTTCCCCCATAAAAAAAAAAAAAACTCCCCTCGAGTTAAACAAAAGTAGCACGACTGTTAACTCGCCTAGGTTCTAGAAACAAGCGTTGGTTCGCAGACGATTTTCAACATTCTGACCGCCACACGACAGCGCGTTCAGCCCACAAACTCATGCGACAAGTTGTCAACGCAGCGAATGAAGAAAAAACATTGACACTGTGGACAACGTCTCTAACATCAGGGTTTCACCACATGACCACGGAACGAGAGAACGTACAATTCGTAAAACTTTGGCTTCTTTTAAGAAATGCTCGTGCAAAGATAATGATTAAACATGGACACAATGATACTCAATGCTGGCTGCCAATGTCTCACCGTGATCTTCAGTATTTCGGGATAGTTTTTAAGTCGTCATTTAGTTTGTTTAAATAGTTGACCTTATATCATTCCAATTGTAAGAATGTGTGCAAGTGCAGTTTGGTACTAAACACATTTAAGAGGTACGTCGGTGCACGTGGGTGCACGTGTGTGAGCACCTTCATAGGTGCTTGCTAACAGCATATGCTCCAACAGTCTCTTAAGGCAATACGGGGGGGGGTCTTTGTAATTTTGCTGTGTTGTTGTTCGTAATAGGCACTTGCTAACAGGAGATTTACTGAGTCTAACCAGGCTTACGGGATGATCTTATTGTTTATATGGTTGCTACATGTTCACGTATAGGGCCAAAAGAGTGCGGCATTAAAACATAACCTTTATGTAACCTTTAAGTGTTTTTACCATCATCTGTTGTTTGTTGATATTCCGAACGGGAATTGCTTTTCCAGAAAATGTTCGTCGCAATGTATGTTTAATGGCCTTAAAACAGATAAGTATTACGTCTCAATAAAAAAAAAACGTATTTGTCGAAAAATAAAGCAAAATACTGCAGATATTTGGTCTGAGAGCACATTTAAACGGCAGTGTTTGCCACAAACTAGGTAGCGGGTCACCCTGCATTTGGCTCTTGACCAGTCGAGTCTGGTATGCGTGTAAACACAGCCAAGAGTGCGGCTTGGTGAGAAAATCCGATTCGCATGCTCTTGCAGACATATCCTGAGCCCACCTTGAGCCGAGGCACGGCTGACAACACAATGATCAATGTTAGCTTATTAAGAGAACACGCTAATTGTGTTTTAACACAATTTGGTTTGACTAATAGGTGTATTGTTCTGCATTGTTAGGAACAGCGGCACTGGACAGCATTTATTGATGACGCTTTCAAGTTACGTTAACATTGGCATCTGGGATGTTTAAAACGCGCGCTGGTGTACCTTGTGCAAGTGCAAGATCTTATTTAGCTTATCATGTAATTCTAAACATTAACAGCACCACGTTATAACCTTCACATCGACGTTAAGGCACATTCTTCAAGTTCTTAGACGTAAAAAAGACACATTGAAAATTTTCATGCCTAAGGCAATGAAAAAGTTTAGACTGATTTTCTTGACAGAACTAGATAAAGGCGTAGACATGTTTTTGTTCAGATGCATGACATTTGGTAAATGTTGATGGCATTAAATGACGTTAAAAGTCAGCATGAACTGGAACTCATTCTTCCAGTCATCTAGTATCATCACCCACAACATTGGAAAACTCGAGTCGTACGATTTGAATGTTCTGTTGTATAACAATATTTTTACTGCCTTTGTGCTGTTTGCACGCATGTGTTGTAGAGGTTTAGAACATAGATTTGTCAAGCAGGTAGAGTGGAAGGCTCCAGACCAGCGATTCTCTACCTGGGGTGCACGCACCCACTGGGGGTGCGAGACATGGCCATATTTTTTAAAGAGGTAAATAATGGAAACACAAATTCAGCACGGGCACGTAAGTACAACTACTTTGTTTCATCAAACCTATGTACTTATTAACATCATACATGTTGTGAGAATAGGTTTTCCCCTTTTTTCTGGCAACAAAACAGGTGTTAAGATGTTAAAACACCAAGCTGAAACCTTTAACAAGGAATAATGTCTGCATTAACCACAATACTTGTGGTCAGAATGCAAACAAACAACATACTCTGATAATATCTGTGGCATTGTCTTTGCAACTGATTGGCCCACACCAGAGACAGCTTTCTTTTGAGCCTCATCTCAAAACGGTGTTAGACCAGAGGACGCCAAAAGGCGTACAGCACAAAGACAATGCCACTATCAGAGTAATGAGAGCTCTGGGTGAGCAGCTACATCATGGAACCTCCTTTGCCAGTACCAAAATATGAGAATAGGGTTTTCCCCTTTTTTCTGGCAACAAAACATGTGTTGAGATGTTCAAAGACCAAAATGAAACCCTTTATATGCTTTAACGATTGAGAACCAAAGGGGTTGCAAGGCTGCAGTAATGGCTACGAACCCACTGCTCAAGAGGAAAGGAAAGGGATCATCAAGTGGCAACGGGTCGGTTAGCCGGCTACGAAGCTCCCTCCGAGACGAGGCACACGGCAGTGATCACAGGGCCCGAGTGCACACACGCACACAAAACCGCGTCCGCTCGCTCACGAAACGTACGAGCAGTCCAATTACATTATCCGTGGGGAGGGGGCCAACGCGTTTACACGTACAGTGATACCCCGGTTTACGCCGGGGGGGGGGGGGGGGGATGCGTTCCTGAAAGGTGCGACGACGAATATCGAAACGACGTGAATCAAAGCGTTTATTAGGGTAGCAGGTGGAGGCTAAGGCTGAGGAGCGACGGATAACGAGAAAGGACGATGCTTTCAACGACGCAAGTGTGAGGTCAAGGCGACGCAAACCAGGTCGCGGTGTTAATACACTTGCGACGTTAAAGCTTTCGTGACTGCAGGAATACATATTCTATGGGTCTTTCGGTAAAAGCCACGTAGATAGAAAAATAATATATAAAATATCACGTTTCGATCGCAACACAAGCAATCGTCTTCGATTGCCTGTGTTGCGAACGAAACGTCGTGATATTTATGTGGCTTTAGCGAAAGACCCATAGAATACTCTCTAACTTGTTTCACACTGCCACAGTGTTAGAGACGCATGTTTGCCAGACTAGCAACAAAGCACAAGTCACTGGTTGTGACCATGTACTAGCAAATTGCTGAACGTTGGTGCTTACACAATACAGAGGCCACCCACGGCGGCTGCCATCTACCATGGCGGCGCATTTTTGTAAAATGGGTGTCAGATTGTGGAAAATTAGCTGATTATGCTGTGTGTGTTGGATAATTATCGGCACGTTGCTTTTTAATTTCAGCAATGCTATTTATTTTTGTCATGCTTTTATTAGTTTTTATTTCCACAACCATACTTAGAATTTCACAACACTTTATTCTACAACATACGTGGCGGGCAACTGTACATCATTATTCGGATATTTTTTTTGATGAGATTGATGTCACCAGATTAATAAGATTAATTGTTCAACACCATTTTTAATGATTGGGGTAACTTTAAAGAAACCATAGGACAATGTGAAGTAAAAAAAAGTTTAAAGCGGCAAAGAAAAACAGTCCAAAACTAAATTTACGCTAAATTAACCCACTGCCACCCAAAAAAATAAAACAAATGTTACTAAAAAAATCAAGCCAAAGCATTGATATTTAAACTAGACTGGATAATAATAACAATAAAATAATACAATGCATATTTACGTATTTTATTCAATATAAATCTAAAAGCAGTCTCTATGTGTCCTATCTTACAAATTGTGAGAATAGTTTAGCACACAGCTTTGGCATTGAGCTACTGAGAGGCACTGAGGAGAGAACAATTGGACGATTGCACAATCACACCGTAAAGAGATATCGTGAAGTGTATTTAACTCTGCCTGGAATGACCTATGGCCATTATCATGCATAATGCAACTTTAAATGATTCTTAAAGCAACTTCATTCCTTGTGGCCAAGCTTATCATGTCTAGCAACCTTCTGCAAATTACGAAACAAATCAGGCCTATTTCAACGTGAATATCCACGGCCAATTATCAATTGTCGCGTTTAGTGGTAAGCGTGCAAAGCAGTACAAAATCGTGAGTTGGGAACCATAAACGTTTTCTTCTTCTTCATATTTCCATCTTGGGGCCCCATGAAAACATTTGAGCCACTTGAGTAGCACCACTGGAGGATGACGTAACGTGAGAGGCATGACGTCAAGGTCTCACTTTGGCAAGAAGCACGGCACGAGGCAAATGTGAAAACTCGCTGCACTTCTCCCGACGTTGAAGAGACCACGGTGACATCTCTGTCACCCTGAGAGCATTCGTGGGATACTGGAAGCCAATTGTGATGGATTTATTTTTAAAGAAGAAACGCAAAAGAGAACAAAGCGACGATATGAAGTGAAGAAACTCTGGAGTGGTTTAAAACAAAATGTCACATTGAAGTGCCCTCTCTTCAGACGGCACTCCCTGCAATATTACATGCTATTTTTTTTTTACATTTTTAAAGTTGCCATCAAACACAACCCAAAACCTTTAGGCTACATTTCTAAACAAGCACATACAAAAATGTATTTCAATAGAAAGGCAATACTACAACAGTAATTATCTCACTTTTATATAAAGCACCAATAATGCATTACTGCAAGTTCTGATTAATGTTAAAAAAAAAATTCAAGATAACTCAAAACCAATAAAATGAAAGAAAAAAAAAGGTGAAGGGAGAAAACACAGGGCGAGTGCTTCGGCCGTCGTGACGTTTAGCACCGGCGCGCCGGGTGAAGAGCACGAGCCCTCCCGACGCGACCTCGCGCAAGATCACCCGCAGAGCGGCGCGAGAGTTACACTTCCGAGCTGTCGCTGTTGCTGCTGCTCCCGCCGCCGCCGCCGCCGTTGCTGCCCCCGTGGAGCCGCTGCGGCATCATGGGTTCGCTGCTCCCGCCGCCGTGCGGCCCGTGACCCGCGCCTCCCGCCTTCCCTCCCGCCGGGCGGCCGCGGCCGCCGCCGCCGCCGTCTCCGCGGCGCCACCGCCGCCGGGACGCGGCCAGGACGACGAACAGAGCCACGCACGCCGCGAGCAGCACGGCCGCCGCGCCGCCCACGATCGCCGGCACGGACGGCGCCGCCCCGGCCTCCCCGGCGTCCCCGGCGTCCCCGTCGCCGCCGCCGCCGCCGCGATCCCGGGAGCCCCCGCCCCGTCGGTCGCCCGGGCGCCCGCGGTCGTCCGCCGAGCGCGAGTGGTCGAGGCCGGCCGAGAGGCGGGCCGCGCCGGGCTCCAGCGAGATGTGCTGGATGTTGGTGCCGCGGTTGTTCTCCTCGCCGATGTCCCGCGCCAGGGCGGGCTCGCCGGAGTCGCCCGCGGCCCTGCGGTGGCGCAGCGGGCGGGCGAGGGGGGCGACGTCTCCCGCGGCCGCGCCGCCGCTCGTCGCCGACGACACCGAGTGGAAGCGGGAGAGCGTGCGCTCGGCGCTGCGCTTGCCGATGCCGCGGTTGGCCGAGCTCTTGGAGCGCACCGTGTAGATGGTGTGGATGTACCACTCGCGGCCCGACGACACCTGAGGGTGAAACGCGTAGCATCTGAGGGGGTGCCGTGGTAATGCTTTTGATAGCCCACGTGTATTGCCGGCTTCACGGGAACACTTCGTGATCCACTCTGGGGTTTTTTTTTTATCATATCATCGATTCGCAGATGGCCATGTAATGAACGTAATAATTCACTATTTTCATCCACTTAATCTGCCACAAAAGCATAGTTTCTTGACGATTATATTCAGTGGACTGCAAATTATTTTCCAGAACACCTCTATTAATGAATTTACACATCATTGCATAGTACGAAGCATTGCACATCGGCATTACCTTTGCACCAACCTTCTATAGATCAGGCCAAGAACCTCATAACTACTATCATGTACTACTATCATGTACTACTTTAATGTTTTTATATTGTTTGTTGTTGTAACGTTCCTATTCGCCCCTATTGGACATCTTTGAAAAATAGCTTCATAGCTCATCGGATTCCTTCCGGCATAAATAAATATTCTGATTTTGATTTTAAACAACTCAGTCCTTAATTACATTCAGTTCAAAATGGACATTGTGTGGCTCATCCATCGCAGAGCACCAGCACGGGGCCTGGGCGGGCAGGACCGGCCCTACCTGGAAGAGTGGCGTGGAGTCGATGCGGAACCCGTCCGAGCCCGGCTGCTTCACGAGTGGCAGGGCCTCCGGGTCGTCGATAGCCAAGCGGGAGTTGAACGGGACGTTCCCAAACACCGTGGCCTGCGTCTCAGGCTGAGCTTTGTCCTGCACGCGTCCAAGCGCAGCCAGCCAGAGACCGCCGCTTTACACACTGAGGCCGGTGCTGATTCTGAGTGCATGGAAAGTTGAGCTTTTGTCGCACCGTACGTGGCCAACCGTGCTCATTGGAGGTACGGGGAGGCGGGGGGGGGACAACATACTAAACAAAAACAGGGTGGTGGAAATGAATATTGGTTCCCCACAAACATTTGTTCTGGGTTAAGGTTAGAGAAAGTTTGACCAAAGCGATTGCATGAAGAGTTAAATCTATACTGAAAATGTACCGAGCAACTGTTTGAAAAGTGGTCTCAAAATGAAGGCTCCATTTGAAAATGCATGGATATAGGGTAATATGCAAATAGAGAGAGAGTACTTTCCTTTAAAAATATAAGTGGGTACAAATATTCCTAAGAGGAACCATTATTCTCAAGCATTGATTGCGAGCAGGAATGTATGTATGTTTCTTTCTTGGGGGAAATATATAGGGAGGAACACGTGTTTTTGGACAATGGCACGTAATCATACATTAATGCTGCCATGATATGCAGTAAGAGAAGGTGGTGCAGCTATCACCACGCACATCTCGCTGACCTTTGTCTCCCCAAACAATGTTGCTAGGCCTACCATATCATGGACTCTTTGTAGGCTAAGTTGATCTAAGTGCGGTTCAGATAACAATTTCCTCTTGCACGCAAGAGGAACACAACGCAGCATGGTCAACTTCAAAAATCGGTGTGCGGTAACAGGGTTTCAAAATCTGGAGCCTATGGCCTGAGTCGGCGAGACCTGCTAATGCCGGGGGCAGCCGGGACCCAGTGCTCACCAATATCTTGAAGCGATAGAGCAGCGAGGGCGCGTCCGCCAGGCACCCGTACTCTGCGCGCGTTGGACTGTACTTGGGCACGTAGCCGTCGGCCCCCGTGCACAGGAACACCTTTTCGATGGTGCAGATGAACGAGTCGCCCAGGTTTTGCACCGGGTCCACCATCACTCGGCCGTATATCGTGCTGCCTGTAAGCGGCACAGACAACGACAAAGACGAAGATTCCCCTTGTAGTCTTAACGGATTGTTGGGGCAAGTGCTGTTAGCGAGTAGCAGCCTGCATGGCATACAAGCAAGTGGGTGGCCAGCACCAATGCCTAGCCACCTTTGTCTGCCTAGTAGTGATGTTTACACATCGCACCAGGTTCTAATTTGAGGCTTAGTAGACCTAGGAGAGACACAGGACTGGTTCGGATCATCATCACTAGCGTTGGCTGTGATTTGGAATTGAACTCGGGTCGCTGGGTTCGTAGCACAGATACACACACGCATGGGGAGCAGTGGGGAGCTTAGCGTCATATAATGTTACGATCTGCCTTGTCTACAAACGTCAGCTTTTAGACCTTCAACAATGTAGATTTTCTTATTCTTTGGACCTTTCGGTAAAGTCACGAAGATAGAATGAAAAAATTACAAAAAGAGTAATTTTTTCTCCACCTGATGACGACCGCTTGTGTTGCGATCGAAACGTCGTAGTTTTTTGTAAAAAAATGTTTTTAACCCATCTACGTGATTTTACCGAAAGACCCAAAGAATATGAATTCCTGCAGTCACAAAAAGCTTTACGTCAAGATTGAATGTAGATTTAAAACAAACAAAAAAATTCCCACCGCTTCACAATGTGGTTATATTCCATGGACACGAGTAAGCGTATGCAGCACAAATGAAGACGCGTACCGCCAATGTGTGCGGCGCTGGCCGCGGAGACACCTACCCTCCGTGAAGGCCGTGTCTGTGCCTTCGCCGAAGCCCATCGAGCCGTCCGACAGCCACAGTGCCTTCTTGGAAAGTAGGTGCATCTGGGTGTTGAGACTGAACTCTGTGGCCACGGGGTCGCTCACCTACACCACGACACAGCACGGCATGTCACGGCCCTTGGTTATCGTAATCGCAACGGCGCCTGTGTATGTACGTTATGTTGGGAAGTTCTTTCGCGCCCTGAGTAGCCAACCACGCTCAGCGGAGGTGCGGTGAGCACAACTCCATTGTCCTGAACCTCACTGTGGAAGACAATCAGAGTGCCCAGAGAAAGCTCGCAAATCACCTCCCACCATAACGCATGCTTTATCCACTTCCGGATGAATGCCTTTCCAGTGTTGTGAATTATGCACGGCGAATAACGACGATGAGGATGCGGATGGTGATGATGACATTTGTGTGATGGCAATGATAACAGTGGTGTGATGATGATGATGATAATGACGATGACACTGGTGTGATGATAGCGATGATAACAATGACACTGCTGTAATGATGATGATGATGATGATAATGACACTGTCCTGATGATAGCGATGCTGATGATGCCGACCGGCCGGCCCGTCGGCCGGCCAGCCACACACCTGCTGGAAGCGGATGTCGAGGTGGAAGGTGATCGGCTCGCGAGGGTTGCACACGGCAGGGATGCTGTACTCCTGGTTGGGCGACGCCGTGCACGGGATGAGCTTGACCGTGTAGGTGCCTGAGTAGTCGCGCACCTGTACGCACACACGCACAGAGCGTACATGCACACGGGCAGACACGCGGTGGTGCAACGTGGTCCGCGGTTCAAGGAATTAAAGGGGGACCCCCCCCCCCTCACCCGCTGTCCAATTCGCCCTCTCTTCACAGCCCAGTTGCGGTTGCACCCGATTCAAGAGCCGAATGGCTCACAGGGATATACCAAATAAATGAAAACTGAAACTGAAAACAGTGCTTGGGGCCCCTCTGGACCATTGACTACGGTGCAGCTGCACGGCCTGCACAGTCGATGGCTACGCCTCTGTGTGCACGCTGCATGCACAATTGCCTGCAATTGTTCATTGCTTCAGCTTGCGAGTTATTGACTTGCTCGCTGGCATACTTTGCCTGTCTAGCTCACTCGGTTTAATGTATCTATTTACATTTATAAATAAATGTCTGTTGGGCCACTTGTACCGTTCACATTACTGAATTTATCATGGATATGAATGGTGTCTTATTATAACTGAAATCTAATAAGCTTGACATAAGCTGAGCTTTGGCACTGGCCCTTCCCCGCTTTAAGGAAGAGCCATTGCTCCCAATGAGCTGCGCTGGATTTTTCATCGCACAGTTATTTTAAAAGTAAATGCCGTCAAAAAAACAATACACTGCCGTGGCATCACACAGATCTACAATTATTAATACGACTGATCTCCATGGGGATTGATGCGGCCAATATCACTGCCTCCACGACTATTGTCACCACCATAACCACCACCACCAACACCACAAACGCCACTGTCATCACCACCACCAATGTCATCATCACCACCACAACCACGAGAACAACCGCTCTAACCGCCACCACCACCGTCACCAACACCTCAACCACTGGGACCGTGACCACCGCCACATCCACTGATATCATCATCACTTTCACAATCACCATCACCACCACCACCACCATCACCACCACCACGTCCATCACCACCACAGCCACCATCACCACTGCCACAACCGTGCCAGCCACTAGCTGCTGATGTGTGCAGTGCAGGTCCCCTGCAGGCCCTCACCGCGTAGTCGGACGTGAAGCTCCACTGCTGCTCGGGGCGGTTGTACGTGGCCTCGCTGCGCACGAGCGACAGCGTGAACGTGAGGCCCGGGTGGTCCGTCGACATCACCATGGCCGACAGCGACGTGCCTGCGGGTGACGTAAGAAGACGGAGCCTTACTTCTGTTTGGCGAGCACCTATGAATCTCACCTCTTTTCCATTTCCCATTCTCTCCCTCTTCCCTTTCCCGCCCCTTCATCATGGTCACCCATTACCTCATCCCTTCCATGCCCCCGCCATATAAATTATTTCTTTGTTTATATATTTAATGTAAAGCGCCTTGATGAAACGTTCTCTATGAATGTTAAACTAAATAAGAATAAGGTATGGTCTACGCAGAAGACGAGGGGCGTGACATGGACACACCACCCACACCTAGCCTCCTGCCTTTGTCTTGCCGGAGATGCCATCACCGAACTTCGACACTTATCAAGGCGCGCTTTTAGGGGATTTCATTATCTGTGCATCTTGGAAGGATGACCACGACGCTGCGGGACTACATGGTGACCAGCAGAGGAAGTTCCACAACATCTACTGTTGTTTTGTATTTCTAGGCTCCCACGACTTGTATCCCTTTGTACACCAACCTGCACGGACCAGCATGGAGAAGTATGGTCAAATAACCCCCACCACCCACATAGTGTTGATTGTAAAACAAAAAAACGGGAGCAGTACATGTTCGTTATCTGTGCCTATCTTCAAAAATATCCATGCGGTTCACCCACAGATTAACGCCAAAATATGTTTGCACCACTTCTATGTGAAGTAAATAACACGGGTGATAGGACGAGTCTCACGCTCCTGGGAGACCACTTCTGGGCAATTCGTCTTTAGCTAAACACGGATGATGGGATGAATTAGACGTATTAATGCAGACAATAGGAAGAATCCATCCTCGGATAACAGGAGTTTCTGTGGATTGATTCGGACAATAGAAATATAAGAGTATTGGTGGATAATCTTAATGGCGGATAATAGAAGTAGCAGCTAACAGGGTGGTATAGAAGAGACATCTACTATCTGGCTTGGAGCCACGCCACATACCTGGGTGGGACATGACAAACTGCCCGCGGAATCGAGCCTCCGATCGGAAGTTGACAACCAGGCGTCCCTCGCCATTGATGCGCATGCTGGTGGGATACAACGAGCCTGCGGAAGAGCACATCAAGCAGGAACATTACAGATCCAGGCAATGTAAACGTCCAATAAGCAAGCGATATCACTCCTGTCGCAACGTGTCTTCTCTCCATTACATTTGGACCGACGGACAATGCTGGCTGGCACCGTTGTTCTGCGTTCGCCATGCCACTGACATCGCGTGCGATGAACAAGTTGAGACACGTGCAGGTGACACGGTGACGCCGTGGCTGAGCTGTACCGACTCACGTGACGCGCAACAAAAGCCTCGTCAGCCCAACCAGGACGCAGAACGTGACTTTTTTTTTACTTTCAGCCGGTGAGGCACCATTGAGCTAAGCAGCTCTCTTAAAACGACGACCGCCACCGCCCAAGACCGTTGGCAGTGGAGGGAATTACAAGCGATTGCAAAGGTGGGAAAGCGCAAATCCCTTGCACTGCTTGGCCTCGAGTTGAATTCAGATGTCTTGTAAGGCCAGCGTAGCACAAATTTGGTTCCGGATCGGCACAGAAAATAGCCAACGGAATACCACCGAACATGTGAGAGGGCCTCGCACTGGGCTCGGCTCGGCTCGGTTACGCCAGTGGATAAAAGGGGCATCTATATCCGAGCTCACCTTGCAGCTCAGCCTCGGGGGGGCTGCCGATGCCCTCGTTCCACAGGATGGCCGTGTCGTACACGAAGGTGAGGCGCAACTCGGACTGTAGGTCAAAGTGCTGCCAGCCGCCGACGGCCACGGGCGAATGGAACACGTAGGAGACGTGCAGCGGCACACGCAGCGTCACGTACGACTGCACCAGGTTCAGCACCTGCAGCGAGAGAGGGTGGGTGCATTAGGTACGTGTGCAGCACACGGGCGCAATGTCTGCATTTAAAAAAAATGCTACACTTAAATCGGAAGCACCACAAGCATTTGCTGATGTAGACACAACATTAATGTTATACTTGAAAATGATTAATATAATATGAGTAATGATATACTGGATTATAATAAAACTGTGGCAAATCTATTGATTTCCCTGAGTTTGGCTCTAATTCAGGACAACTCAAAAGCCAGACAAACCGCATTAAAATGAATCATGACTATCTGAAAAAGTTAGACGCATAATCTTTATTTACACTGGAGGAATCCGGTGATCTATTAAGCTCTTTTTCACAGATATCCAGTAGGGGCAGGTCAGCAAGTTAAGCCATGTAACATTCAGACAGTTGCCATGTAGATTGCAAATTGAATATTAATGTCTGCCTATACAACTGCATTTTTTTTCCTAAAGAGTGAATCCTCATGTGTTGCAAATTGCATATACATATGTATTCACCAAATAATTTGTTATAGATATTGGTTGAATATATAAAAAGTACAATTAATGCACTTGACTTCTCCAGGACAAGCGGAGAGAGAGGGCAGTGTTGGATGTGCACACAAACCTGGGATGGACAATTGCAAACAAACGTGCCCTGTAAATATTTTGTCACTCGCCTCTTGACCCCCAATCGAGGAAGTGCTTGGAGATGCCCACGTGTGTCAATTGACTCTCTCGTAAAGCCAAACGAAGTTCTGGACAAGTTCCATCCTTCTCCCCCACCTCCCTCCCACCACCTCCCTCCCCCGACTCCCCCCTTGCCAGTGACAATGACTCCTCTTTCAGTAACGTTTACCCGGTAGGAGCTCCCTGTCTGTTTGATGGGATTAGGACCAGGCCCAACAAAAATAAGTGGTCTTGGAAACCTAAAACAAACCGGCTGCGAGCTGGAATTCTGCCCCGTGTTTGCGGCGTCTGGGTTCATTTTTTTCTGTTTCTGTTGTGGCTTTTTTTCTCGAGATGTCTTTTCATTTAGGAAGGCACACTTTAAGAATTCGCTTTTGTGTTGGCTAAGGCCTGTAAACAGGCTCAGCCCAGGTCTCTATACACAAATGTTGCCTCGGGCAAAATAGTCCCCGACATTCCACAATGTCTATGCCCGCTACAGACGTGGAGGTGTTATGGGTAAATCCTCCACCCTTTTTACTTTTTTTTTTAGTCCAAGAGTTTGAAAATTCCCAGGGAAAACAAGTGTACAATGGGAGAGATTCCTTTTGATAGCATTAACACATAGAGCTAAGTGAAAACAAATGTTTAAGTGGACCTAAATAACACATGGTCTCTTTTTAAGTTCCTACAATTGATTGGAAGTCTCCTTTTATGATCTCGTGCTGCCTTTGACATTTGTGATCTTAGTTAGCTGCCCTTAAAGTTAAAAAAAAATCTCTTTTCGCGTGCTGTTTTGAGGTTGCTATTAAGCGTCGTACACACGAACCAGGTGCTCCGTTCACCTTCAAAGAAATAATCACATAAAGCCCCCAATTCTTTCAACCCAGACTAAACACATGCACAGACTGAAACAGAACCATGGATAGATTTTAAAGACAGGGGATAAGGTTTACAAATGGAAGAAAATCTGTTGAATCCTCGATATAAGAGTGTTAAAGTAAAAATGTAATGAGTCACGTGCTTATGTGCATTGTATAAAGTCTTGTTCAGCGCTTCCAGTAAGACTGATGCATTAAGTTTGGTAGATATGGACAGCACCATATTAATTGGCCCTGTATATAGTTCCACTCGTTAATATGCAGCCTTCAATGCGGCATTTTTGCTATTTTTTATGAATTCCACAATTGCATTTTGTTATGACTGCTTGAATATCAAACATAATGTTACACATAATATTCTTGGTTCTTTCGGTAAAGTCATGTAGAATGGAAATAATAAAATAATAAAAATAAAACAATACAATTCTCACGACGTTTCGATTGCAATACGAGCAATCATCATCAGGTGTGAAAACCACAGCAATAATTTTTTTGAAAAAAGTGGCGGGTTTTTTCTTATTTTTCTTATTTTTTTTGCCGTGGTTTTCACACCTGATGATGATTGCTTGTGTTGCAATGGAAACGTCGTGAGAATTTAATTGTTGTATTTTTTATTATTTCCCTTCTACGTGACTTTACCGAAAGAACCAAGAATATGAATCCCTGCAGTCACGAAAGCTTCAAATCGAAATTCAATGTTACACGTCGGAATCATTATTTTATCACGTTGCACCGTATAGTGGTGTAACAGCATTCACAGAGCGTAACTTCTTGACTTACACAGGCCTCTTTGCATGCACCCAACACGAGCACCTCGTGATGTGCCATTATAATTTGTGGAATGTTTATCACGAAACAATCAGACCAGTATTTTTTTAGTTTTCAGATTTAGGGATAGGCAGAAATATGTAAAAAAAAATATAGCATTTTGTTCATGGCACTGGCTTATGCTTTGTGTGGCTGGCATGGGTTCGAGGCAAAGACTTAAATGGGGCCTTCTGTCCTCCAGTCCAATCCTAACCTCTTCATAATCTGAAGCCTGGGCCTCTCAGGCCGCTGCACGAACAAAAAGGACAGACTAATGAACAAACTAACGAACGGACGGACGAACCTGCCCGTCGGTGCCAATGGATCCGCCGCAGTCAGCCAGCAGCTCCGACATGTCGTAGTAGCTGTTGAACTCCCAGAGGCACGACTCGACGTCGAGGCCGCGGTAGAAGCGAAGCGTGCGCGCGCCCCGCAGGGCGCTGCTGTACTGGTAGGGCAGCGTCTCGCCGATGACCGACGGGTCCTTGGTGGACTCGGTGAGGAAGCCGTAGCGGGTCGGCACCTCGTTGTAGTCCAGCAGGTTGGAGCACTTGTGGTTGCCCGAGCGGGTGCCGTCAGGGCTCAGGGTCAGCTCGAAGTTGGAGAGATGACGCGTGGAGATGACGGGCAGCATTCCTGCGGAGAGGATCATTAATTGGGGTGCCGACTACTTAAAACTTTGCAGCTTCGGTTGCGTGGACGGGGCCCGATTTGTTGCGTCTGCGTGTGAGAGAGACGGGTAGGCTAGAGAGCCTCGATTCAATTGAACACTGAGTGCGGCCGCCGCCCAGTATTTTGGAGGCAGAGTTGGTGGATCGGGCAGAGATTGTTTTGAAGGGTCTGTGAGGTGATCAGGAGATGGAAGAACAGCAACAGGTTGCTGACCTACATCCGGGCAGTTTTTTATTATTATCTCCTCGTATGCGTGAGTTTTCTCCAGGCGCTCCGATTTTCTCCAATGCACAAACACACTCGACAAGGAATTGTCCAAATGTCCTGCTTCGGCCACTAATTAGCACACCAATCAGGACAACATAGAGACCTATGGTATAAATGATAAGCTCTATATGATTTATTGTTTCGAAAATTAAAGAGAAATCTTCTCAACATTCTGGGCACAAATAGAGTTTCGATTTAAAGCTTTCGTGACTGCAAGGATTCATCTTCTTTGGTTCTTTCGGTAAAGTCACGTAGAATGAGAATAAAATAATAAATTGATAAAATAAAATAACACAATAATAATAAGAATATTATTTTATTCTCATTCTACGTGACTTTACCGAAATAACCAAAGAAGACAAATAGAGTTGTTGTGGGGAGCGGGGCAGAATGAAACAGTGAAGCTTAAATGTACATTTCTATTAGCATTTCATTGTATTTTATTATACTTGTTTAAATCGGAACCCTTTTTTTCGCAGGGTCTTGCCAAGTATTCGTAGGAGGGAATGGGGCGATGTTGTGGCAGTTTGTAAACCTAACTGGGTAAATTGCAGGTAACATTTTAGCATTGGTTTATTTGGCCAACACGAATTACATTGCGTGCGTTTTTTTTATTGTTTTAGCTATGGGAGGAAACCAGAGAATGTGGAGGAAACCCCACGCAGAACAAGTTGCAGAACACAAAAAAAGAACTCCACGCAGAAAGGCGCCCGGGTCGGGCGATCGAAACCAAAGGTGCTTGCTGCTACTGGTCGAGTGCTCACCGTCAATGTGGGGCATGGTTACGGTGAGCTTGATGAGGTTTGGGTGGTCGGGGTCGTCTGGCCCCGTGTAGCGGAGTTTTGCCGAGAAGGGCTCGGCCCCCACTGTGCCCGGAATTCGCGGCTGGCAAAGCCCTGTCGGAATCGAGATGCCGCAGAGCCACGGAGGAATATTTTCACATTACCAAGCAACACACAGCCATCTCTCAGTCAATAGCAGAAGCTGGATATAACTTTCAGCCGACGAGAATAAACGCTCGCTAGCTGTGTGGGTGGCCGAAAGATTGATTGACTGACTTATTGGCTGTCACACCGACAATCTGGTTCACCGAGTGGTTGGCTGGCTATGTGACTAGTTGTCAGTCTGGCTGGGGTGCCTAGATAGCTGATTGGCTATGTATCCATTTGGCTGTAAGGCTTTCTAGATGGCAATCTGGATGGTTGTCTGTCAATCTGGCTAGCTGTCTGTCTGTCTCATTGACTGGCTTGAATCGCAGGGCCTATTTTAAGTAAATGTTAACACTGACCACAGGGCTCTGTCATGTATTCATTTAAGTACACGGCATAGGGTTACAGGGTACAGAGCAACAGTTACAACAGTTACAATGTTGGATACAGAGCTGCTATAGTTACCATTCCTATATTTTCATGGACCATTTATAGATTTATCATTGACCAAAGTAGGCTCAACATTGAGCATTTTGAACGTCACTAACTGATAAATAGGTCTCAACTAAATGGACGGCCGGTTGGGTGGTTGTCTCATTGGGTACCTCGCCGTTTGTCTGGCTGTCAAATTTGTCTGGATGGCCATCTGGCTATGTGATTGTCCATCCATCCATCCATCCCTTCCATCCATCCATCCTCACCTTCCTCCTTGCTGATGACCATGATGGGACTGAGCAGCTCGAGGCCCTCCTGTCCCGTGGAGCCGACGGCGCGGGCGGCGCACTGCACGCGCGATCCCGGGGCGAAGTAGATGGCGTCGAGCGTGATGCTCTTGGTGTTGGTGAAGAACGTGTCCGTGTCCACCTCCCGCATGGGGCTCGTGACTCCGTCGGGCCCCGTCGGGGCGCTCACGAGCCAGCGGTAGCGCGTCAGCGTGTCGTTGATGTTCTCCACCGAGCAGATGGAACCCGTCTTGTCGTACTCCGAGTACTTGGGGTTGCATGCCTGGTGTGGGGGAGCGGGGTGTGCAAGCGGGGAGCAAATGGAATCGCCGATCACGGATCGACAGATAGCCACGGTTGCACCGCACAAACCTTTTCAGGTCTCAAGAAATGCAGAAGACCTGCGAAACAGCGGTCGCGGTGCAACAAGGCTGGAGCAATGTTTATTTTGATCACAACATTAGGTGATGGAAATATTCAACCACAAAGTGTGCGTTATTTTGGTCACCGACGACCTCGAGTGGACGAAAATCATCAAGCGTGACGGTGCCTATAGCTGCCTACCAGGGATTAAAGTAAGACGGACTTTGACGAGACAAAATTAACGAGTCTAAATGAAGATGTAGACAAAGATAATTGAGTAACTTCTCTTATTTTTTTTTACCAAGTTCACTGGTTGGCTGATAATATATGGGTAGGAAAAATAACACGCCCCTCACACCAACATTTATTAACTCAGAGTCGACGAAACATTTGAGTGCTTTAGTCGACCAGACTAAGAGAAAACCTTTGACTAAAATCCAGAGGTTGTCGTCGGCTAGAGCCGTAGCTCTTAATGCTCCGCTCCACGGACCACCGGGCGTCGACAGTGCCGTCGGAAGTGCCCCCACCGTGGAACCGTTGCAGATCCAAATATATATATAAAAGAAATCCCCAAAACATGGTGGTCTATGAAATTAAACTTGAGAGATCGCGTGGTCCCTGGGTCCTGGAAGATGGGAGCCACAAAACTGTGACTGGAATAAAAAGTGGCAACTAAACTAACGTGCGCTGTGGAACGGCGTGCTGACAAATCAGGCACCCAATTTTAAAATCAGTCATCATTCAGGACATCAAGGAGGGGGGCGGCATTGGCTATGTGCGTTTGCCTCCAGGTCGCGGCAGTGCGGCATATGGCGGGCATGGAGACTGTATCCCCAAGTCGTGCATTTCGGCAAAGCGCCTGTTCATTCGGAATAAAGAGCCTTCAATTAATTCCTTTAACCTTCCCTGCAAACATCGGGTGAACGCGCGAAGGGCGCAACAACACACGGACCGTGACGCAGACGACGGGGTAGCCAGCGTGCGGGTGGGCGTTCTCCTTGCTGCGCGACGTGTCGTCGTAGATGAGCAGCGACACGACCTGCGGCACTGACGGGAACGTCACGTCCGCCATGCTGTCCATCTCCTCGATGTAGACGATCGCTCGGCTCATCTGTGCGCGGTCACCGTCGGGAGGGGAGGGGACACCAAAGACACCAAACCGCGCAACGTCGTGAACTCCACTGGCTCCTGGCTTCACGTAGGAGAGTACATCATCGGCGCATATGTTGGATTTGCCATGCCCTGTTAACGTAACACGGGGCAATTGTTTATTAAATGGTATTCAATGGTTGCAACTCGCAATGTGCGCTTGTTAGAACTCGCATAAGGCACAATGGCTAGACTTCCCAGAACAATGGTGGTTGTGGTTGTGTTGGCAGTCGGGGTGTAACATTTGTGGCTATAGTGAAGTATTGGTGGTTGGTAGTTTCACATCGGGGTTGTGGTGAATTGTTGGTGGTTGTGGTAAAGCATCAGTGGTTGTGGTGGTGGAGTGTTGGTGGTTGTGGTAGCGTGTTGGTGGTTGTGGTGGCGTGTTGGTGGTTGTGGTGGCGTGTTGGTGGTTGTGGTGGCGTGTTGGTGGTTGTGGTGGCGTGTTGGTGGTTGTGGTGGCGTGTTGGCGGTTGTGGTGGAGTGTTGGCGGTTGTGGTGGAGTGTTGGCGGTTGTGGTGGTGGAGTTTTGGTGGTTGTGGTGGCGTGTTGGCGGTTGTGGTGGAGTGTTGGCGGTTGTGGTGGTGGAGTGTTGGTGGTTGTGGTGGCGTGCTGGTGGTTGTGGTGGAGTGTTGGCGGTTGTGGTGGTGGAGTGTTGGTGGTTGAGGTGCTACCTGTGTCTCAGCGATCATATTCTCGTCCGGTTTGAGGTGGATAGTGAAGGCCTCTCTCATCTCCCGCTCACCATCGTACAGGATCTCCACCTCCACAAAGTGCTGCGTCTCTCCTTCCTTAAACTCCAGCTCTAGCAACAGCGAATTACCACAGCAGCATAATCAGTAACAGGCAGTAGCACTTGCAAATTATAACTAGGCTAATGACATCAATAACGATGATTTACAAATTCAGTCCCATACCTAATCAAAATCACTTACCTTCAATGGAATGCATTTCATGAATTTCACCACATTAAAGCTATTTAATAGTCATTGGTATTTATGCAATACAGATCACGACAATCATATTTATGGAGGACAGTTTTAGGTAATTGTAATATAAATGTAATTTGAGTAGTGATGCTGGTCCAAATATGATGACGTCACATAATGCCCAACATCCACTTTACAAAGGAGCAGCTCACATTGCCAATTCTCGACCACAATCAGCATTGGCATTGTTCACAATCACATCCAAGGAAAGTAAATGGAACAAAAACATGAAAGTGGCAGAGTACGTGAGTTAGTTCATTTAAGAATGCGCAACGCTTAAAATCTATTTTATCACGAGTTCGCAATATTCATACGTTGTAAGCTCCATGAAAACAGTCCCGTCTTACATTTCCCACCGAACTCTGGGAATTATATCGAGAGTTCAGAGAGCAAGAGAGGAACACGTGGAATGAGGGAAGGGGACACACACACAGACACACGGTAGGTTAAAGGCGTCGTTGGGGGACTCACCCTCGGATATGGGGTGGTAATCCTCCCCAGAGGTGGCCGAGCCGTCCTTGGTGTGCACGCGCACCACCGACAGCTTGGAGGCGTCGCCCACCCGCACCACGGGCACGCGCACCACCGCCACGCCGCCCGCCTCTGTGGGCTCCTTCACGCTGAACTTGGTCTCGTTGAACCTGATGATGGGTTCTGCGACGAGCGGTGGGGAGGGGGGGAGGACGCGCGGAGACAACTCGGTGACGATGGGTTTACAAAAATCTCTGCAAACGCATCGTGGGGTGGGGGGGGTGGAGGGCCGGTCGCACCGCACCAACGAGCTGTAGGGATTTGTCTCAGCCGGGTCCGTCTGGGTCGGCGACTCATCAGTGACAGCGGTGCACCTGGCTTCAGACTACGGATGCTAGGCGTGATAGAAAGGAGAAGCGTACAGCGGCTAAGATGTGGAATCCTCAGAGTTAAAGCATTGTACGATATATATATCTCATGCTTCGCTCAATGTACAATTCCACCACTCACTCAGGATTGTTCAAAAGGAGATGATCACTACGCAGTGCCTAGTGGAGCTGCAAACCACTGACTTTCTTTTTGACGAACAGACACTTCTGCGAAGACATTAATCGTGAATTTCTACCTGCAGGAATTACAGTTTAATAAGCGTCATCATATTTCACCCAAATATTTCTCAGTTTCAGAGATTTTAAATGAACTTCATAAAATGTGTGATTTTTGTTCTCCAATAACTGCAACCCCAAGCTCTGTCCAATTATATATATATTTTTATAATCCGACATCACAGCAGGCGCCACTTACTGTCGGTGTCATCCTTGATCTTGATCACCGTCTCATTCTGCTCGCCGATCGACGCCCCGAAGGGCGACTCGCTCTTGGGCGAGCCGAGCACCAGACGCAGCTCCTCCTCCTCCTCGTGCAGCTGATCGTCCTCCAGCACCACGGTGCACGGCTTCTCTATCTCGCCTGCGGGGAGCCGGCGGCGGCGGCAGCGATCACGCGGCCGCGTCGAAGGAGCGGAGCTCAGTGTGACCGCGTGGCTCGGGGCTCACAGCAACGAGTCAGCACCGCTTGCTCAGACCCTGGGGGTTTGAATCTAAACACAAACTATAAACTGCGCTTTTTTTGGGGTTTGGTTTTGCCAGGTAAGGTCCACTGAGCTATATAGCTCTTTTTTCAGAAGCGACGTGGCCACAAATGATAGCCCAATGCAGCGGCTTCAAATGTGGAAATTTATAGCAGCCAAATGCTCCAAATGCATGTTCCTAAATATGAATATGGGTTTTGGCTGCCGACGGTTAAGTCAGGTTCTGACGTTGATTGAGTTTATGGTCTCAGCCAGGATATCTACAGCTTCATATAACCCCATGATATTAAAGTTCTTCACTTTATTTGACTTAATGACATTTTCTGAGAATAACCGTTTTGGTTTCGGTGACATATCAGACGAACATTTTCTGCACGACACGCAAAAGGTGTGACCCCAGCATGCCTCGAGATAATTATTGAAGAAATGACTATTTCAGAAATTGTTCTGTGATGTCAACTTCCAAGGCTATACCTATCTGCAATAATCCGTGTCATCTCATGACATGACAGCGATATTACATTTGGTACATACTTGGAAAAGCAATAAGCGGCTCTCTGCTTTAAAAAGTAGTCCACTTGTTAATATGCCTCTATCTCCACCCAACAAAGACAGAGATTCCCTGTATAGCCTTAACGGACTGTTGGGGAAAGTGCTGTTAGCGAGTACCTTTGAAGGTCGGCACGGCACACGAGGGGGTGGGTGGCCAGCACCTTTTGTCTCTCTCGTGGTGATCTTTACACGCTGTACCGGGTACTCATTACGGGAGGCCCAGGACCGGTTCAGATAATCGTCACTGTTGGTGGCCGTAAGCGGGAATCGAACTCGGCTCGCCGGGTTTGTAGCGACTCATCCCCTCCCCACTAACAAAGACAAAGATCCCCGAAAAAGAGCCTTAATGCACACACACACACACTGGCCCCGGCGGTCTCACGGCCGCACCTGGTAGGAAGGAGACGATCGAGTCGTCGGTGTTGGGCCGCTCCTCGTAGTCGGCCATCACCTCGGCGCTGCCCTGCCGCGTGTAACAGCGCACGGACGAGCGGTGGCTCACGTCGCCGCTCCGGTACACCACCGCCGACACGGCGCCGTCGTTCTCCTGCGCCGAGTACGACGCCTCCTTGAACTGCACCTTCGGCACTGTTGGGAGGGCGACGAATAACACAGAGCCACATTCGCGTAAATGATCATAATAATTGAGTACGTTTGGTATCGCGCCATTCTCGTAGCGCCAGGCTGTCACAGAGGCGCTTTGCTTCACAGACGAGCGAGGTCTGCCAGTTCGGTGCGATGTTGCTACGCGGGGGGTTTTCAGGTAATTTGGCAATTTTTTGCCCATGGCCTTTTTTTTAATGGCGTCATTGGATCTTTAACGTCGAATTGTGACGTAAACGGCAAGAAGATGTTTTTTTTTGTTTCATACACCCACAGTATTAGCCAGGGTCGCCGCAGGGCTCAAACCAGGAACCTCTACGATTAGAGATAAACACGCCAATGGTCGACCATGTCGCACTGGGAAAGTATTCATTACATTTTGATTTAAAGCTTTCGTGACTGCAGGGATTCATATTCTTGGTTCTTTCGGTAAAGCCACGTAGACTTTACCGAAAGAACCAAGAATATATATTCATTGCATGTTATTTAATTAATTGTACTTAATTAATTGCTTCCCCATGAAAGTGATCGATTGTCAAAAAATTCTAACTGACGTAGCCTTTCATTCCGAGTAATAAAATACAAACAACAATGCAGAAAATACATTCACCGATTCATTCACTCTGACATGAGGTGGGGGTGGGGGGGGGGTGGTGTTGATGTGGAAATCTGGCGTGGAGTGACGCTCACAGTCGGAGATGGAGTCGTTGATGACGACGACGGTGCGGCTCGGCTCTCCCAGCACGGCGTTGACCGCCATGCGCAGCACCAGCTCGAAGCTCTCGGGGCCCTCCAGCACAGGCTTGCCCAGGTCGTCCAGGATCGTCACGCGGAAATTTTGCATCGTCACGCCTGGCGCAAAGTCCAGGTTCCGGCTGATTCCTACATAGTCCACTCCAGCTGTTTCCCCCCCCCCCCCCCAGGGAAGTGGGTGGTGCACAAAAATAAAATAATATTTCAGAGTCATCATCATTATGATGATCAACGTTATAATTGCAACACTGTCATCAACATCATCATGAACACTACCACACTATTCTCAAAATTACCATCATCATCATCATCATCATCATCGATTCCTACAAGAATGATATACACATTTTGCGCTGTCCAAATTGGGTCATGAGTAGATTTCAATCGAAGGCCCTGCATTATATTATTTCCTTACGCAAATACTCTTCGCCTTCTTGTGCAACTCAACCAACCACCGCGACGTCAATTCCCTTGGCCATCGTCTAACTTCCCCCGCCGTCAACCGATCGCCACGAAGCGCGGCGCCCCGTTACCTTCAGCCGAGACGGGCTCCGTCTTGCGGGATCGCACGGTCACCGTCGCCGTCTTGGAGAGGTCCGTTCCCGTGCGCCAGACGCGCACCTCCACGAAGCCCGCGCTCTCGTCCACGTGGTATTCGGTGTCGCCAAAATAAAACGACGGCTCTGGTCGCGCAAGAGTAGCGAGCACGAGGCAAGCGAATCAATGAGATACACGCTCATAGATCGAGGGTTGGGATGGTTGCTGTGCTGTAATCACTAGCACACCGGGGTTAATAATCCGCGACGGCGGATGAAACGGTAGGCCAAGTTTCTAAAATCTCTCCATCCACTCCCCCACTTCTGTCCGTCCACCCGGCAGGATGAATAGGTGCCGCACAGAGTTAGTTGACCGACAGGTTGCGTGTGGTGGGGTAACAACACCTGTTTCAAGACGTCTGTCGCCAGTGTGGAAAAGTAGGCCAAAGGCCCTCTAGAGGGCTTCTCGAGAGCTCCCTCGATTGGTGGCCTTTCCACCAGCAGTGCCCCGTGCGAGTAAAGTCGGACCATTTGGTATCGTGCACCCGAATGCGTGCTGGTCACACAGAGTGTAAGCCCCTTTGGGATGACACTGTTTTCACACTGTCTTGCAAACACTGGCTCAGACTCAAGGATGGATTGTGAACATCTGCCGGTGACTGGTTCCAGGTCTTCGGGCCCGAGGTCACGGCGATACTGCGCACAATCTTTACGCGCGGGTACAGCAAGGCAAGTGGTTGCTAGGGCTGCATCTTAACTTTTACTTTTTTTTAATGAACCAATTGCTAACTATCGAGTGCAAGCATTGTTGAAAAAGGAACTTTGAAAATGTTACACTTTCCTTCCATTACTCCGCTTGGTCAAATCGTGTCTTCGAAAAATATGTGTTAATATATCTTCATAGCAATTTAATTAATTATCACTATAAGCACGATCCTGCTGCTAACGCATAAATATATTTACAAATGAAAAAAAAGCGAATGAATGTTTGCCTTATATATGGATTTTTGTTTGTTTGTTATTAATTCACAAGCACAACTACATTGATTATTCTCCCTGTTGACAGTTATTGATGATTGTGCAATGGATCAGTAAAATCGTGGAGAGTGTTGCCACGTCAGTTTGATGGCACTTACATCCCGGGTGTCCACTCATCTACTGCTGTCAGCAACGAGCCACGGAGGACATTCCGCATTGCTGAAGATTAGGAGTCAGCTGGAGGGAGCTGTATTGGCAATTGTATGTAATTAGGACTTAATTAGAGACCGAACTGAGTTGGACATTTCACTTAACTCAGAGCAATGTTTTTTTCATCAGAATTGTGGGTTGTTAAAATTAGTGGTCGGGTCAGCTTTTACTTTTAATTGTTTTTTTTTTAAATTACTTTTCAATTTACTGTTTTAATTGAAATAAGTTTGAAAAATAATGCTTGCAACTGGAATGAGAAAAACGACATTTTATAATGTTTCGACCCACGGCAACGTGGAGCTCCCCGATCACCATGCCAGTTACGGGGGCTGTTTCACCATACTTCACCACGCTGGTGAATGTGTGTTGGTGAAGTTGGGGGAGGGGGTGGGTGGAGACGTAGGGGGAGGGGGGAGCGAGTTAAAGGGCTAGTTCATAGATCACCGATGGCCAGCGATGATAGCGGTGGCCAGGAATAGATAGATAAGATAGATGTTATGAATTCAATAGATTGTATCTATTTCAACGGGAAGGGGCCCAATAAGCTGCTAGGCCCTGTTTCGTGGGCGCCCTGCGACGGTACAGACGTTATACACAGTACGGAATCAAACTCAGATGGCTAAGTTCACAGCATCATTTGCTAAACGCTGAACCACTGTGACATACATTTTTTACGTCCTTCTAAAAACAAAATATCCTGCTCATGATCATTTAAGCTTTACGTTTTGTTTCGTGTATTTGATATCAGTTAAGACCGGGTGAGAAATCAAGAGACCTGGATCCATCTCATTTGCAAAAGTGACAAAGGGCATTAGTAAGCCGGTAGGGGGCAATGACAACCATGTGCAATCCCAATCAAGTAATTTGTAGTGAACACGAAATACGAGAAATATTTGGCTACACACGGAAAATGCCATCCAATTACAACTCTAATCAGGAGGCCATGACATATAGCAAATACTTGAATCAGTTCACTGAGAAGAAACATCTTTGTTTTGAACATGGCAAGTGCCTCATAGAAATACAACTGAAAATTAGCTAACTGTGATTATACTAAGTTGTGCCATGTTTCTTACTTGACACTGCGTGCACAATACAAACTTTGAGTTCGTAACTAGGGCAGTTGGACTACGGCACGTGCCCAGAGTGCATTCCTCACTTTATGCTTTACACCTGTGCACGCTACACGCCACCGGTCCTCGCAAAGATGCACAGCTGTGCTTTGTTAATTGTAGGGTATACCATCTTTACAGGAGAAGAGTAGGTCTGCCTTTGATAAAAAAAAAATCTAATGTGTGACACACTCTTGTAAAATCAACCTGCATCATAAGAAAACAATGTCACATGTGCCTTTATTACCTTGAGTATACTGTATGCTGAGGGTTAAACAAATATATTTCCTCCAGATGAATTATATACTTTTAAACATAGAATGTTACCAATCCTTTCCTCTCGTGGTACTTTTAATACTGGCTTCGTTTAAGAATGTACATGCACTCTCATTTCGCAAGAAGCATGTTTTAAGCGAATATTATTGTTACATCTTAGAAATCAGAACAAAAACATTTTGCCTTCAAATGTGAATCCTATGACATATTTATCTCACTTGATTATATTAATGAACGCTTGCCGTGACAGAAGCTTCCAGACAAACCCAACAATTTATTTAAGAGTCACCTCTCGTGCACAGCCACAAACTCCCAATCAGGATTAGCCAGGTGAAGGACCGCCTGGGACATTTTTTTTGGGATGAACTTGGTGCCCTGGGGCTACACAAAAAAGTAATTTCCACCATTATACTCCAACTCACTTTTCGTTAATTACACACCCCACGTCTCAATGGCTCAAAGTAAAACCCCGGAAGGAAGAGAAGTATTTCCAATGCCTGACCTGCGATAGTTTCAGGACTTGTCACCGTGGGTTTGTGGTTACAACATTATTTTCCCTGAAGCAAGCTTTCTTTCGCGTGTTTTTTTTTGTTTGCTGAAATAAAAAAAATCACAACTCCATAATGTGGTTTGGTGGTATCCGCACGGCTTAGCGTTTGATGCGAAAGGAGAACAGATTGATAAAAAAAAAGTTTTTTTCTGCTCTTTGCAGTCGAGGGCTTATTGACGGCAGCGGGATGGAGCAACCAGGCGAGGACACTTTAAAGTGGGCTTGTGTTACAGCTGACTCAAATAAGTTAATTATAGCCTGCGAAGGAGAAATGAATAGAGCAGAAAAGTGACACCCTGCCATCCATTCATTGCGATTAATTAGGCCACGGGCAAATGGCAACGTATTGGAAGGAAGCCTGCAAACTCAATTTATCAGCTCCCTTTACGCGTCTTACAGAAATTAAAAACAAAGTAATGATTATGGGTCCCATGTGAAAGTGCGGTGGGAATGTTCGGTGAAGTAACTTTCTCCGAAGGGCGCGAGCCAAAGCTGCGAAAGCCTCCCTCGTGTGGATGCTCAGGACTCAGTCACGTGACTACAGGACACTTTATTGCTCGCAATGCTTCTTTCCTGTCTCGCTCGAGTGCTCCCGCGGGTCGATAAAATGACACGAGAGCAGAACAAAGTCTACAAATGCAGCACTCCAAACAAGGATGCCACATGTTATTTTATAAATTATCTGTGGTTGGAATGAGACCATACAATGCCCGATATGCAGGTCAGCCATTTGTCATGCGATATATGGCTTGGCCCTTGCGGTGCCTAAGGGCTTGAAATGAGGATCAGAGGCGATGCAACGAGGCGGCCTCTATTTACAGGCATGAGTTGTGCGACGAATTTGAAAGGACACAAATACCAAACCAGAGCAGGATGAAATTTGGCATGCCCCATCTTTGTTTTTGGTTAACACAGAGGCGAGACAACGTGAGAGGTTCAGTAATGATGTTGATAGCGACGGCGGCGGCTGCTGAGTGGTCGGCAGCCGCTAACAGAAACCTAGAGAGCGTTATTGCGAGAGCGAGGCGGGCCTGACGGTGCTGACCGCTACGTGCTCCCAGAGCGGCTGGCGAGGGTGACCCAGTGCGGCATTTTCATGGCAGCCTGGCCACTGTGGTACCTGGCTCCGCGTCAGTGTTTACTTGTCAGGGGCCATGGCAGCACCAGGAGTTTTTGGCACCCAGGATGGCAGCTTGCGTTACACGGGGCATCACTCACGTTTGCCCCGGGGTTTTTTTTTTTGTGCCAGCGGAATAAAAAAAACATCGCACGTAATTCATGGAGTACGTGCGGTATGTTATCGCGGGGCTTAAGTCTTTCACCTAAGATTCTCACGACTTACACGGGGCTTTAATTTACATGCCTCTCGCGCAAAGCTCTTGGCTGGATGTGGAAAGTTAAAATTGTGTTGCACGACGTTGATATTTCTCCAGATAACATCATCAGCGGAGATTTTGCTGAGGTACATGAAGCCAGAACCTGCCATCGGGTGCGGCGGAGAGGACCTCTATCAATACGATTTTGTCTGCCAGTTCAAAATTTGTGTCGATCAGCGAATTTATGTTACCAAATCGTGCTAAATTATAAAACTTACATCGCTTTAGTCATGCTATTTTATCTTACCTCAATTGATCAAAATGTCCTGTAAAAGGTAGAGTGAGAATCTTTTATTTAATTTTTTTCTGAAAAAATAATAGGTGTTGCTTGCAAAAGGTTCCTATTTGAAAATATTAACACCTGCTTATTGATAAAAATGGTAAAACCTATTCTTATTTTTTCATACTTTGATCTTGGCAAAAAGAATTCCCATTTTAAAATGATTTACCTATTATAACTATAATTTGAATGCCTGGCACAGGGCTGCAAAAAGGCCTTTAGCACGACCCCACGCTAATTTATATTCCTGATCGAGTCAACGTGTGTGCAACATGTGCCGAATGAAGGTTGTATTTATCATCTATATGTTGTGGTTCAACAGGGACAAACCATGGAGAATGAAAATACAAAGAAACCATGAGCATTAAATATAATTCTATCCATGCATACGATTTGAGAATCTGCACATGTTTGAAAGTTCCTACGAAACGTTTCGGCATAGATTTAAGGTTGAGAACTTAAAGGAATGAGGATTAGTGGCTTGAACTTTGGACATGTTAGAAAAAAAACGAAACAAGAAAGAAAAATACTTGATACGCGATTTCCTGTAAACCTTGCACATTGCAAGAGCAGGTTACGCTACGTGACCTTAAATGCGTAGCCCCCTACTGCTATTTTGGCAAATCACATTCAGCCCCGACGCAAAACTTCAATTAAATTGATATTTGGTGTTCTTTAGTCTAACGGGAATGGACGTGGGCTGTAACAATTAGGAACGGGACGCTATTTCAGCAGATTGCCTTCTAAGCCGCGCGCCGTTTAACTGTTGACACACGCACAGCGGCGGCGGATTGTTCAAGTCAATTAAAACGCTCGATTGGAAGGAAAATGGAACAGCAGCCCCAATCCATCAGGACCTCAGCACATGCTCCGAACAGTTTGGCAAGGGGGAGAGTCTGTCTTTAAGAGCCGCTCGAGCGTTAAACTCAAACTGAGAGGCAAGCGACCGGTCCCACTTTGACAAGTTCGGTATTAAGACCGTTCTTTTAATGCTATTTTAACCATTTTGTATAATGAAATGTATTTAAAAGATTAACGTCATCGCGAATGGGCTATTTGTTTGCACGCTCGGGTCTTGAAGTTCGTTATTAACGGCGACAAATAAAACCGGCAGGGTCCCAGGTTTCTTTTCAAAAAGTTTGATTCGTTTTTAGAGTAATTGCAGCAATTGAACGGTGTAAATGTTTGCCTGCTCATCAGTTAAATTAATTAATTCACGTAAAGATGTAAACGTGTAAGCCCTGCGAATTCTTGCTCACGTCACCGCTGGCAGAAGGGCCCCTACTAGAAGGAGCTCTAAAGAGCCCTTATAGATGATATTTGACCTACTCTTCCACGCTGCAAATACATCTTGGAAGAGGTGAAAGTACGCACACTCTACGTCATCCAGGTGTCACGTGCCAATCAGCTGTGCTGCACCGATTTATGTCGCAGGGTTGTGCTCGAATAAAGGAACTTTCCCTTCTATTTCAAATGTCAAAACCTCTGGAGTGCGAGTCCATTCTGCTAACCATTCTGCTTATGGCATCACCCTCTCTCTCCTACTATATCCCTATTTACAGAATGGGGGCCGGGAGGTGACATCGCACTTGAGCGGCGTCGCGGATTTCTCGCCTCGTCGCTGCTGCTGTCTGCCGCTGCGGTAGTACGGTTACCACTTGCTCGATTGCTCAGTCGTTCGATCGCTCGATCGCCCGCCCGTCCGCCGGCTTACCGTCGTCCGTGTCGGCGAGGACGACGATGCGGGCCGAGGAGAACTCCGCGCCGACGCGACCTCCCATGGGCGAGCCCAGCGTGACGTTGAAGGCCTCCTCGTCCTCGTAGAGCGAGTCGTCGATGATGACCACGCGGCACGGCTTCTCCGTCTCGCCCTTGTCGAAGCGCAGGACGCTCGTGAGGTCGTCCGCGCGGCTGATGTAGTCCGAGTAGGAGAGCACCGAGCTGGGGATGGTGCCCGTGGCTGTGTCTGCGGCGGCGATGATAACGACATGAACCATCAGTTGAACACGTCGACTTTCGTGACCGATATTATTCATAATAAAGGTTTTTGGGTTAGATCACGTAAATATAAATGTGTCGTGAACCCACCACCACCCGACACAGCCAATTAGTAAGGTTTGTCACGTGAACGAAACGTGCCAATCAATTACTACTTCAGCACACCGGTGTGGCAATGCGCCTGATTAAGCTGGTTGTAATCACCGGCGAAACGTCGTACTCAAATTGTAAATGTCGTGGCTTTACTCTCTAACACACCGGTGTGCTGAAGCAGTAACTAATTGGCACGTTTTGTTGACATGACACACCTTACTAATTGTCTGTGCCGGGTGGTGGTGGGTTCACGACTCATTTATATATTTACTCAAGCTCACCCAAACACCTTTGCTGTGGACATGAACCATTGTTGGCGTTTCTCAACAACCGGGTCGAGCCGCGTGACACGCTCGCCGCATACACGCGCACGGAATCTCGTCGGCACAATGCATCGCGAGTGATACCCCAGTGCAATTAAACACATGTTATATTCTTTTGGATCTTTCGGTAAAGTCAGCTAGATAGGTTCAAAGAAAATAACAATAGCATTACAAAAAAACCTATGACGTTTCGATCACAACATAAGCGGATCCTCCTGATGGCGATCGCTTGTGTTGTGATGAAAACGTCATAGTTTTTTGTTATTTTTTGGGTAATTTCCTTCGTACCTATCTGCGTGACTTTACCAAAATATCCAAAGAATATTAATTTCTGCAGTCACGAAAGTCAATATTTAAACACATGCTGTTTGGTGATTCGGCTGCCGCATTGGTAGTGATGCACTAGCACGTATAACAACACATTTACAGAAATCGCCACATTCGTCAATACGTCATACCGCGGGCCTTAAAAGGGAGAATATATAATAGGCGACGTTACGGACTTAGGCCCTTATTCATAGCACATAGGATAAGAGAGAGTGGATAATAAGAGTTGGAGACTGCACTTCAACACCATGGAGCCTGATGAGAGTACACTTTTAAGAAACTGATGATCATAAAACGTACGAAAAATAGCTATGAAGAATGGCCTTAGCCCAACACGTTACATATAAATCTATACCTTTTAAGATCACAGTATTATTGACGAATGTCGCTTTTTTTTTTGGAACGTAAATAATCCTTCATTCTCTCCATGTGTGAGCGTGCTAATTTTCTCACGTTGCAATCTTACTGGTGGCCACGGGTTCGTCATGAGCCATTTATCCTCGTCAACGATTCATCGCTGTGACATGCTTCGGTTCATAACTCTGCTTGCAGCATTTGCAATGGCAACACGAGGCAGTGGCTTAGCCTAGGGACGAACGAGGGTGGGAATTTGACGTTGGTTGAGAAGAGAAGCTGCAGCTTCGGTGTTTTGACAGGAGCAGTAGCACTCTGGTACATCGACAATTCTTACGTCAGTGGTTTAAGGTTATGCTGTGCGTTGTCAGAGCGGTTAGTGCGTGAAAGCATCCGTCGAATATGCAAGTTATCCCGTGAAGCGCATTGATATGGCCCGTTACCCGACATTGCTTCTGCCACGGAAAAGCTTTCGTATAACTTTCATTTCTTGGCAACGAATCGGATACGGGCATCCGCATTTAGGCCTACAAATATAAGCGATGCTAAAAATGTCAATCATCGCTACGTTTCTGCCGTAAACACGAGATGGAACGAGTGGAATTGGCAACATTAGCAACACCGTATCCTATACAGCCGAGCCAAACATTCCGCGTCTGATTTACACGGCAAACCGCATATTGCCATTATTTTTAGAACCCCGTGGCCGCGTGCGAGCCTTTGTGAACATCAAAATCTCAAGCCTGGGCGGCATGGCAAAATGGTGTGAGAAGGGCGTGGGGAGGGAGGACATCCAATCTGGGGCCCCGACTGTGCGGGGGGCGATGGGGGTGAGAGCCGAGCGCCGAGACGGCTGGAAGAGGGGGACGGAGGAGAGGACGGAGATGCGGGGTGAATGTCGCAGCAACGGAGCGACATGGCTCGACACGTGGAAAGCGACGATAGCGGCGCTCGCATTAAATCAGCGCCGGCAGCCGTTCGCGCGCGACATCGACGATTTTTTTTTAAATGTTCGTTTTCAGGGTTTTTTTTAAACCCCCCCACCCCGCCCGGCACCAACGTGGGAGCCCTGCGAGTTTGCGACGTTCCTCTTTTGAATTCTTGACGGCTATTAAAAGTTGCCGTTAAGTGCCAGCGCTTTTGCTCAATGGGCAAAGCGCTTGGCCATGGGAGACAGCGAGGAGTCTGCGATGGGGTTTTTTTTTTTAGGGACGGGAATGGGAGCAGTGATGGGTGGTGAAGGAGTGAGGGGAGGTGGGAGTTGAAAAGGAGATGGGGGTTTTGCTTCCCATCAGCTGTTCCACTGTACACACCCACTGTTCCACCGTACACACCCACTGTTCCACCGTACACACCGACTGTTCCACCGTACACACCCACTGTCCACCGTACACACTCACTGTTCCACTGTACACACCCACTGTTCCACCGTACACACCCACTGTTCCACCGTACACACTCACTGTTCCACCGTACACACCCACTGTTCCACCGTACACACCCACTGTTCCACCGTACACACTCACTGTTCCACTGTACACACCCACTGTTCCACCGTACACACCCACTGTTCCACCGTACACACTGTTCCACCGTACACACCCACTGTTCCACCGTACACACTCACTGTTCCACTGTACACACCCACTGTTCCACCGTACACACCCACTGTTCCACTGTACACACTGTTCCACCGTACACACCCACTGTTCCACTGTACACATCCAAAACTGCTCGACACTGCGACGTGCCCGGAACACGGCGGCTTCACGGGAAAGCGGAGAACGGCACTTGCAGGGTTTCTTTCATGACGAGGAGTGCACGGACAGGGCCGTGTTAACATTGTGTAGGCCCCCTGGGCTGCAGGTGCTGTGAGGCCCCCAGTAATATTTTCAAAAGGAAAACAAAGTTAAAGAAAAATACAATTTCTCTTTTATTACGAGGCTAGCAACAAATAAAATTCAGCATTCACAAGTGAAATAACTTTTCACTTAATCACTGGAGGCCCTCCAGCTGGTGGAGGCCCCTGGGCTGTAGCCCCTAAAGCCCCCGTGCCTTAATCCGGCCCTGTGCACGGATGCCCTGTCCGCAGACAAACTAGGTGGCCGGTATTGAGTCGTTCACTCTTAACAGTCATCATGCTTGCAGTCGGGTTGTATTATGATGGGCAGTGTCGTCAATCGTGCAGGCGTCATCATTGTCGTCGTCGTCGTCGTAAACTATTTCGGAACAGTTTTAGGGCGTCGATATAGGAACAGGCCTTTCGATCATTAAAATCGCCAGGCTGCCCCTGATTAAAAAAGCTCGCTGGAAATGAATGTCGCTGTGATGAAGTGGGGGAGAAGAAGGAGGTGTGTTTAGGCCAAACTTACACAGGATATCATTTGCCTTATGACAATGATGATCATGACACGAACTATTATTATTATTCGCAACTATCCCAGCTTCTGCAACAAAATCGCGGTGGTACGGCCGTTTGCCGCCGCCGCCTGCTCGACTGGCTCCGACTTCGCGACGCGAACCCAAGAACCGATGGAAGCTGGCGCCCAGCTCGACTCTTGGGTCTCGGCAGAAGCTCATTCTCGTATCTCCGTCAATCGTCGGCTTGCCTTCGAGGCTCCATTACGCCTTCCCACTCGGGCGGATGGGGATTAAAGCTCGGGTTGCCCAGATGGTCTTGCGTTACTCTTTGGGTGCATTTTTTTTATTTATTTGCCAGTACTATCATAAATGAGAAAAACAATTAAAATAGGCTATATTTCTAGGAATTATGTCAAGGTGTTCAAACACCGAATAGGCACACCCATTGCAAGGCACCACGTCTGCATTACCCACACATACTTGTGGCAAAACATGAAAATAAACATGCTCTGATGCATCGTCTTTGGAACTCCCATTAGCACGGTTGGCTGCGTGCGGTGTGAAAGAAGTTCAACATACGCACAAACCGATTAGCCAACACCAGAGGCACAGACTTCTTTATGGCTTTTTCTGACCAGTGTTAGGCCAGAGAGCAATCTCTGGTGTAGGTCAATCACTTTTAAAGACAATGCATGTACTAGCAGAGCTTGTTTGTGTGCACTTTTTGCAACTCAGTATGTGTGGTTAATGCAGACTTGATACCTTGCAATATGTCTCTATTTGATGTTTGAACATCTTAACACCTCCTTCGTTTTATTGCCGGTCAGAGTGAGACTATATTTCTTTCTACGTGACTTTACCGAAAGAACCAAAGAGTTATTCCTGCATTCACGAAAGCTTCAAATCAAGTTTAAAGCCTATATTCTCATATTTTGCTTTTCCTTTGGGTGTGACGGAGGATGGGTGTTGGGGCTGGCATGCTGCTGTGTCGCGAAGTTTGTCCCGCGTCTGCTCACCCTGCTGCGTGAAGCAAATGACCATCAGCTCCTGGCTGGTGTCTCCCGAGCGACGCACCGGCACTATAAGCTCCCCGATGTCCTCTTCCACGCGGTAAACGTCCTGCGGGATGAACACCGTCGACTCTGGAGGTGGGGAAGAGGACACAGGATCGAGGGAGAGACGGGGGGGGGGGGGGGAGTGGGGGTCACCGCCCGTTATAGCCTCCGTGGCTAACGAGGCCGGACACATTCCTGAGCGCGCCATCCGATGTTCAAGCCTGGCCTCGACCATTGTGGAAGGGTCTCCGACGTTGCAATAATAAAACCAATGGACAGTTATCGAGCTGTTTCAATCAGGCACGGACTACTGTCCAAGCCATTATGGATCTTGCAGGTTAGAGTTCCCTGTGGAACACAAAGAGGATAACTCTGTATTGCGTTCAGCTTCACATTAGACACATCAAGCGACTGTGGTCATCCAAACCAGACCATACAACATGTAGCGACGCAATGCCCGATCCACAAACACGAAGGAGACATCACAGCGATGATCACACTCGGCTACTCCTGACGTGGCTATCGTGCTTTGCCACCTGAATGTGAAATTGTAGTCGTTTCCCTGCATCTGCATCGTCCATACGAGAGAACAGGACCAACTCCATCTCTCTCTCTCTCCTTGCCTCATTGTTTCCACCTCTCTCGTTGTCTCTGCCTCTCTCATCATCTCACCGTTTCTCTTCTCAGCCTCTCGTGCTCTCTCATGCTCTCTCATCGTCTCCATCTCAATCTGGCCGGCGCGCGAGTGTCTCACCATCGCCCGGGTCCACGATCTCCACGGTGGCCACGTCGGGATACTCGAGGGCCCCCATGACGGGGTCGGACAGCACGATCTCGAACGTCTCCGTCGTCTCGTACTCGGCGTCGGCAAAGATGCGCACCTTCCACGAGGCGCTGCTCTGGCCCGGGTTGAACTGCACCTGCTTCTGGGCCTTCCCCTTGAAGTCCTTGTCCTTCTCGGCCGTGCCGTCCTTCGTGCTGATGCCTGCCGGCGGACACGGAGGATGGGCACGCGGGGGGGGGGGGGGGGGGGGGGCAGATCGTACAAAGGGGTCGAGGAGCTTGTAGGAGTTGGTGCAGAAAGTAGGTTGCTGACCTGTCTGTGAAGAATGTGAGTGTTCTCCTACTCTACAAGAGGTCAGAGCACTGAGGCAGCATGGTTGAGATTCTGACCTGTGGTTAAATTGGGTTCTCGAGTGTGGCGAGTTGGTGGTGAAATGATGACAAACTATATCACGTCAAGTTTGGTTTTCATTAAATTCGTCAAGGTTCCAGTTTGGATAATTAACATTTTTAATTTTCCTACTGTAAAACAATTTCTACAGCAGGGTAGGTAGGAATGTTCGGTTTCCATTGTGTGGATAAGATGTCACTTGATAAGATAATCTGAGAAGCAGTTCTATGATTCCAACATTTGCGTCCCATTCTTTAACACGAGGTGATGCACTGATCTGCAACAGTTTCTCAGGATGATGAATATTTAATGAAGGTCGAGTTTATTTTGTTTAACCAGTTGAGAAGTCAAGAGACCAGGATGAGTCTCATTTGCAAGGGGGGTGACCTGGGGCGTTCGTCTGCCAGTAGGAGTCAATGATAACTTTATATTCCCAATTGAGTAATTTGGGGGTAATGTTCTAATTTGTCAAATTTGGACAGTGACATCGTTTCATGACGTGATGCCGGAAGCGCAATGATAACAAAATTAGGAAAAGAGAAAATAAATGAACGTAAAGAAAACGTACCATAAATCTTGAGCACAACCCAATGAATCTGCAAATGAGTATGCTACTTATTCAAGCTTTCCTTGGTAAACGACAACATTGCTGCTGTATTAGACGCTGATAAAGACGAGACGTACTGCACGTCCCATTCAGACAACAGGTTCACACTGTGTGATGCCGGCCACTCACTGACGAACGAAGTTTCGCCGAGGTACCCACGGCGACGAAGGGTGACCTCCAGGAACTTGGCGTCTTCGTCCACCAGGTAGTACTCCCTCTCCAGCGAGATCCATGCCCAGTTCAGGCGGAACACCTGATTCTTCAGCTGGTTTGTTCCTGCGCGAGACAGACAGACAGACGGGTATAGACACAGTTATGTGTAGGTATGCCAGTTCTTGTCTGGGTCGACAGCTTGATGTGCATATGTTATTACACCGAGGGCAAGCATTCACCAACATGCCAATTGACACTTAAATAAATCATATTGCACAACAGTGATGCTGCGGTGGAGTGCTGGTGCAGTGCATAGTGCACTGCATTATGGACCTGGCGATCAGAGTGAGATTCCCAGCCATGGCTAACATCAGGAGCGAGTGATATCTGAACCAGTTAGGGGGTCTCAGTATCACCAAACCAAAACGACAAACGTAGTTAAACATGATCACACAACCCTCGTCATGCAAAGGCACCAGGAGGCTTTCACCTAGCAGTCGATTAACAATGGGCCGTAAATTATTCAAGTTGGCCGTTGACCGATAATCAAATTCATATCGCCGCCGGCTTCATAGGAGAGTGCGCAAACCACTCTGAAACCACTCCCCGCCACTTATGCGAAGAATAAACACACCAAACACATCATTATTCCACTCGGTGATATGGTGATTGATGCAATGCATTCAGTTGGTTGTGTGCACACACACACACGCACACACACGCACGCACGAGTCAAACAACTTTCCACTTGATTTGAAAAAAAACAAAGAGTAACATTTCACGATCAAATACAAATGTATATCAATATTATTCCCGCACATAAATGTAAAACCGCATACATTTGTGGCCGTGGGTGTACACTTTAGAATTCCCAGTAACGCTGCTCTAACAAATCCTTAAAAGAAAGAGCAAGTGGGGCATTCCGCAGGTAATGCCCAACATTTGTGTTCCCGGAGAGGAGGGCCGTGGGCTGGAGTGGTAGCAGAGCCGATGTTTTATGGGGTGCCACCCTTTTTAGAAGATCACCTTTTTTTTTGTCGAGAATGTAACTCGTTAAAGATGACCAAATGTCGTGCGTGTTCAATTATTTTACGAAAATAAAAACAGGCCCAGTCTTTGATGCCATTTTGTTTTTTGGATCGCTGAAACAACGCACGTACACACATTAAGCGTGAATGCCAATTGTCTATGCGGTAATTGCTTTCTTTATTGTATACGTCAGTCTCCCGAACGCTGTGCTGCATTACAACATTCCGGATCCATAAAAAAAAATCCACTCTCTACGAGAGCGAGCGAATACTCCGCTTGCAACAAGTTGAAATCATGATTGCAAAGTGCCGCTTGAGTGAGCCGATCAGCTGAAGGTCACCAAGAGAGGACGCATTAGCAAAGAGACGTCCAATGAACACGGACGTTGGATCGTACAGGGACAGGTGGGACAGATGCTCCTCCAACATTGGGACGAAAGAAGTACATTATTATCCGTATTATTATTGATTAGTATTGTACCACCTAAATTAATACGCTCCATTGGCCACATTGGCTACTCAAAAGACCCCCCCCCCCTCCAACCCTACCTTGCCCCTGATCTTCAAAGTCACTCCTACGTGGCTGCACGTGTATACTCGCAGCACTAATTCTGGACTAAGACTTTAATGTGGTTAACTTAGACATTGTTAGTGTGTAGCTTGAGAAATGGAGAGAGAAAGCGGTAATAAATTACGAAAAATCACAGCGTCCCGCTGCTACACACACACACCTGTGAACAGCGGCCGCCTTTATAAGACACCACACGTGTTGGCAATGAGCTTTGAAGTCCGGCATTCCACTTCTTGTTCTATATTCGTTTCTAAGAAGGCAATATACTGCTGTCGATAGCCGAGCAAAGATTACAGACTTCGTAAATCTATGTTTTTTTGCCGACATTCAACGGTGCCACTCGGCAAATGTGCATTGTACTACCAGGAACCATTTGAGCGTGTGATACTTAGAACTAACAAGGGTGGGTGGTTCATAGGGTACGCTACCTGAACAGCTGTCTCAGTGCTTATTATATTTCAAGGTGTTCAGGGGTAGCATGGGTTTACACAAGGGTGCTGCTACCTCGAGACCCACAGGGCTCACATCTGAGTTCTATTCGTTTAATATTTTCCCCAATTATGTGACAATTCAGCTATTGCATGCATGTCTTAAGATGAATACTTTTACATTCGGAGCTATTGCTGCTTGCAGTACCTATGCCCCGTGTCAGAGAATTGTCTCAGAAGATGGTATCACAGAACTACTTTCTGAAGTCACTTAAACGGATTTCTTCATCCATACCCAAGGCACGATTTTCACATTTGCATGCAAAGGCATTTCTGCATGTCCAATACACACTGACATATCACTCTGAGTGTGGGAATAACTGTATAGGTTGCGTGCACTTCTTGGTGACCGGGTTGAGACCATCAGCTCGCTTACACCCGAGAAACCAAGTTCAAATCACGGGTGGCTGCCTACATCAGAACCCTGGATCGCAGCGACGTCAGCTCGGTGTTCTGACCCGTGGGCCACCCGCCCGTCCACCTCGTCCGAGTTCTATTCCAAGCTCAGACGCGGGCCTCGCTGCTTGATTCTGGGCAAAGCCCAGCGATGGCTGTGACTTGTCTATTTACATGGAACCTACCTCACCATCTTTAATCTCCCCAGCGGTAAGTTTAGATGAAGACCACCTGGCGCCCGATGTTGTCCCTTGATCCACACGCTCACGTTACACACCTTTAAGAGCCCCCTTTTAGTGTCACGTTGCCCTGGCTTAAGCCTTCTTCCCCCCCCCCACCGCCCACCCCGCAGAACGCAAAGGACCCAGGGATTCATCCCACAGGCCCCATTGTTGCCTTAATGAGTCTGGCTTTCACTCTCTTGTTTGGCAACACGCTTGGGTACTAGCCCACGCGGGGGCATCTTTTGTCCCCCCCCCCGCCCCATAAACCTGATGACCTGATGTCCTGATCTAAAAGGGTCGTCATCGGTAAAACTGAGTGATGAAGGTCATTAATGAACTAATAACTATATATGCTATATACAGCGTTCACGTATTGCCATGTCTTTTAAACTATGAATCGAGGTGCTAATTACGGTTTTGAGAGACGAGAGAGAGAGGCGTTGGGAGAGATGAAAGCCACCTCGCTGATCATTGCGGGTAAGGCAGAGAAGATGCTGATGACTATGATGATGATGAGACTTACCGTGAACTTGAGCTCGGATCAAAATTCATGTTCATAAATGTACATTTAAGTAGGGTGTTACAAATGTTTACCATACAGTAAAATATAACACGTGCATACACTTTAACACAAAATGGTATTTAATAACAAATATACATTAAACATAAATATTATTTTAAAATATATCTAATATAAGTTATCATTTGTGGTATTATTTATTTTAAATAAATGTTCCGATATCACCTTCACTGTGTTTGAGAGCACGACGCATTTGATTCGAATTGCAATTTGCTTTATTTTAACAAGGTGAACATAAATAACTGACTCGCAAAGGGGACATTATTATTTTCACAAGTTTGGTACTTGTATGGACACAAAAGCCGAAACCAAAAACATAAAGCCAACCGTCAAGAAGAAGAAAAAATCCCCTTTGAATACTTAAAAAATGCTTCGCCCATTAATCAAGGGACATGTACAAATACCTCACACTACTTCAACTTCTCTTTAAACAAGGCAAACAGCATCGGTGGGGAATGGCCGTACTGCGAATTTCGCGTCACATGCCGCCAAAGAGGCGAAACTGAACGTTAGAAGAAAAAAAAATTGACCCCCACCGCCGTCTCCGCCGCCCTTTCGTGCTCAACCACCTGCGCAATTCGCCATGAGCCGTCACTCCAGCTATGTGTGGCCTCACTTGTCCACGTCTTCGCCTGCCTCCGAGAGCTTCAGCTCAAACAGCTCCACAGTCAAAATAAAAAAAAGTTCAATTGCATACTCGGCCCTCCCCCTCCCCCCACGGTAGCAGCTGCGCCGAGGACCCGCGGGGGTTAAAAGTCTCCGACACTCTTCACGCGTCCCGGCCGCAAGCACAGGTGCCGTCTCGGACTTCCGCACGCGGTTTTTGGAATTTGCTCTGAAGAGATTCTGGTTTTCTATTCTTGCCGAAAGACGGGCAAGTCAACCGCTGCGAATGCATACGCGTGTATGCGTCCCAGTGGTCACCAGGTATTGCTATATGTACAGGGTGTTTCAAAAGGACGGACCCGATTTGAAATCGCTATATCTCTGAAATTGGGTCAATTTTTTTGAAACATCCTGTATGTATGCATGTTAAACATAAAGACTAATTATAATTCAACATCTAATGGGTATTACATTGATTGAAGGTGTGTCTTGCGCAATGTGCTTTACCAATGCAGGCATTGGGCCGTTTCCTTCCAGATGGAACTCAACCATTGTTTTATTTTGTTGGCCAAAGAGGTCTGAAGATGCGGGGTTTGTGCCACTCTTCAACCAAAACGGGTAATCTGCAAACCGGCTAACGTAGTTGGACACACGTAGCTGCCAAGGAAACAGAGCAAGGGCACACGAGGAAACTTTGCTCTGGGCCACAAGTCTCCACGTGTCCTGTGCCCCAGTGCCTCTCTGAAATCCATCGAAGCATTTACAGATATTTAGAAATCCGCTGCTGGATGAAGGCGTCCTGGCACCATGTTGGTCATTGGGGTGGGGGGGGGGGGTTATTCGAACATACTTCACCATGGTGGTCGTTGTGGGTGTTGGGGAAGGGGTGCCCGAGACTGCTTCAGAGTTCACTCGCCACTGACATAAGACTTGGCAATAAATCGAACCTAGCTTACTGGGTTTATAGCGCGTTTTTAAAAAAAATATATAAATAAATTGCTATCATGGTTTTCAATAAGCCACTTTGCATTCTAACCTTATTTTTATGTTCACGAGGTATTGTGAATGCTGAAAAATCTGACCCCTGTAACCAATAATAAGCACGACAAATTTTGACTTTGAAAACATCAGCAAAAACCTCGTCTACGAAAGCAAATGCGCATCGCATTTGTCATTGCATTGCTTTACCTTATGCTCCCAAATCGTCAATGAAACAAAAGCATGTTTATT